ATTTCTTATTTTCTAATAATAATTGCTCCACTACTTATTTATTTGTCATGTTAAATCTGTGTTTTTATTTAACATTTGACAGTAATGAGTTTTCAAAATAATTTAAATATAATCCATGTGCTACTTAACAAAGGACCAAAACTATTCATTTTTATTAATTAACTAAATGTTAAATATACTTAATAAAATTTTCTTTGGGCTAATAATGGCCTAAATATACTATTATTCCACTTTAAAATACTTCAACTTTCTGAAAAAAGGAAAGAAGAAAATGGATATCGACACATACTTTACAAATTTAAAGATAAGATTCCTAATAATAGCTTTATCCTTCTACACAATAAAGCTGAAATATTCAAGTTCCAAAATGGAAATTCAAATTTTCTAATTTGGAAAGCCACTTCTTCAATAAAAAAACATATTTCGACACACAAAACATTTCACATTAACAAAGTTCAGAGAAGAGCATCACTCCAAGGAAATGTGATGCAAATATTAGTGAATGCTTCCACGACTTCAATTCGTTATTTATAAATTACACTAAAATAACTTTAATATTGCTCCAAGACTTTCGTTTCCACTTTTTCTATACAAAATAATTTTAATTTTTTTTCTAAATGTTTAAAAAAAATAGCAAAATCTGTCAGTATTTAATGTAAGTGGGAGAAAAGAATTATTGCACTCTGTCACCGACAGATACACTTCACTGCCCATCATTCAATTATTTCTTTGCTTTTTTTAAGAAAGAAAATAATAATTATTATTATATTATATATAGGTGCAAAAAAAAGGGAAGAAATTATTCAAGTATCATATAGAGATTAATAATAGCTAAACTAGTTAATATGTTGATTTGAATATTTCGTCTGTTTTAATTTATATAACATAATTTAAATTCTAACTATGTCATATAATAATTACTTGGTAAATAAAATGTTTACTTATAAAAAAAAACTATGTCATATAATATGGAACAAAGAGAATAGTATTTTGATGATTAACAAATAAATGTGGGTTTGTAAAATTTATAAGTAGTTCAATGTGTTTTAAGGTTTAAACTGAAATTGAGTTTAAAATTGAACGAAAAAAATTATGTACTTGCGTGTGTGACTTAAGATAAAACTTAATTTTTCGAACCATTTTAGAATGCTTTTATGTAAATCAATGGTTTATTGAAAATAACTTTCTTACTTCTAGGGTAGAAATAAGGTTTACGTAGAAACATTTTTCTGTCTGAATCTATTGTAAAATGGATATGTTATTGTTGTTGTGAGGGACTCAATCCTTTGAGAGATATTGTCGTAGTTGAGAGCATTCAAACAATTCTTATCTTGAGATGGTTACGATTATCTTGAACATATATAGTTTTAACATATGTAAATTTTATTTAAGAATTTAAAGAGTTGTATTTTTGAACTGGACTTTATGTTTGACCAAACTCCAAAACATAGTTTAAGAAGTTACAATTATCCAAAATCATATAAGAAAATCAAATTTATTTAAAATATGTCAAAGATTCACTCAGCAAAGATTTGAGAGACGTCTATCTTAAATCACAAATTCGAGCCTTGAAAAAATAGTCATGACCAAGGGGGAAGACACCTTAAAACTATGAGAACATCCTAAAACAAATTGATTTTTTAAAAAGAACTTGATAACTTCATCCTACGAAAATGATTTCTAGAATCAAGAATCCGCCATCGGATTGAATGAATCAACGGTCCTGGACAATGCGTACCCTTAACCTCCATCCGTCATTTAGTCATCTCAATTCACTTTTCTCGTGTTTTGGGCCTTTACATCAGGTTTAAAGAGTTATTAAAAGGGCAAACTATAGAAATCACATACTTTAAAGACAAAATTATAATTTATCCCTTAAAAGTTTATAATTACAGAAATCCCTCATTTTCGCGCATCAAATTAGTGTATCAGCGCTTATATTATTGTATCTCGCGCATCAGATTAATGTATTATCGCTTATATTATTGTATCTCGCGCATCAGATTAATGTATCAGCGCTTATATTATTGTATCTCGCACATGTATCAGCACTTATATAGCTCTGATACATTAATCTGATGCACGAGATACAATAATATAAGCGTTGATACATTAATCTGATGCGCGAGATACAATAATATAAGCGTGATACATTAATCTGATGCGCGAAAATGATGGATTTTAGAAATTTGTAAAACTTATAGGGGATAATGGTAATAAGTAAACTAAAATATGGGATTTCTGTGGAAATTGACATAAATAACCGTCATCCAAAAATTTTGGATTGGGAGGTATGAGTCAATATCATTGAAAGCTCATTTGTACTTCTTGTTTCTGATGGGCGAATTTTACAAATTTGATCGATCATTAATAAGTAATCTATTTTAATAGATGATGAATTTCATGATAACAGGAAGTCAAAACTAATTATTCAATCGATATATATATATATATATATATATATATATATATATATATATCAACCCCATCTCCATTGAATTCATATAGTTATCGCTAGTGAAGTCATATCCCATTTTTCGTAAGTACATGAACTCGCTAATGCAAATTCAGGATCAGGAAGTACTATTGATTCGCCCGTAGATGGATTCCATAAAAATATTTCACTACTAGACCAAAATAAAGCCAAGCCATCTCAACAACATAATATTATGTAAAGGTACCATTCTTTATTCGAAGGGCAATCAAGCTCTAGTACATCCTCAACCAGTTGAACCAATGATAAAAAATAAAAAAATAAAAGAATAGAACGATGTTATATAATCCTAGGGCATTTCGGCTAAAAAGAAATTTTTGATTTTTTTTTTTTGTTATTCTTGACATGATTGAAATGCTTCTTCATAAAGTATTGTGCAAAGATTAACGTCTTCCAATATTTTTAAAACATATTTGAATAGAAGAAGAGACATCATAAGAAAGCTACACAAATGTGTTGTCTACAATAACATTGCACTATAACATGCAAGTTCTCTTTGAAATTGTTTTTTATGTTATAATGTTGTATTATATGTTTTCTATAATAACAATTTCATAGAGCAACCAAAAGACATTCAGGCAAATGATATAGAGAGGTTATATTAATTACTACCACATTAAAAAAAATATTTTTATTTCTTTGAGGTCTTTATTTATTTTGAATGAATTGTTTCAATATATGTATGGAAAAAGAGAATAAAATGAGTGTTAACTAGTTAATATTTTTTCTGACAAGGAACCCTCGATTGACACTGAGTAAACCCCACTCCAGAAAGAGAGGTAAATTGCAATAGGCAAGCCTCATGCGACAAATTTGATTGAAAAAAAGAAAGATAACTTGATCACCCTTGTGAATCAGTGGTAACTACTCTTATTATACTAATCAATATTTTTCTCTTATTTTTATGGGAGGGCCTTCTGATCAACTGTTAGTTTATTCAAAAGCAAATTAAAATAATGTTTTCATAACTTGAAGAATAATAAGCCATGATTAATTGATTTTGCTTCTAATTCAATTTTATCTGGTGGAGAGTAGTTTTTAAAAGTCGTTTTCAAACTTGTAATTTTTTTTGGAACAATGTCATGTATATAGTTGGGAAAATGTCTATTTTTTTATCAACTATACAAGCAAGTAACCAATCGTTATCTCAAAAGTTGAGTTATTTTTTAACGTTTATCATTTATATACTGACAGTGTCAACAAACATTATATAAAAAAGAACTACATATAAATTTATATTTATAATAAATGAGAATCAACCTAGAAAATAAATCAACTAATCTCCTATAACAAGTTAATTTCACTAATGAGAATCAACCTAGAAAATAAATCAACTAAGCTCTTGCTTCTGGGTTTCATGCATGAAATCAATAACTTTTGTTTAGATCTTAAATTTATGTGAATTCCTAATCAAATCTTTAAATCCGCCCTGATTACAATTAACCATCTATAAATCAAGTAATTTGCTATAGCAAATACATTAATAATGTAAAAGTTTATTTGCATTGTCAATGTATATAAGTAAAATCTAATTTTCACAGTGGTTGGTATGTTTCATTCTGTTTGATGTTTAACTAATTGAAATGATTTAACTAAATAGTAAGTAATATGTTTGCTTGTATTAAAAAATAATTAAAATAAGTAGTGAAAGTACAAGTACAGACCAAACTAATGGACATAAAAAATACATTAAAGTCTTTTCATATTTTGATAAGGTTTTTTAGGCCCCTATCAAAGGAATAACCTCACATGGCATTGTTGGCTGTTGACATTACACAACATTAATATAATTAATGAATAATTATAAGTCACTAGTTATTACCAACAAATGCTCACCATGACTGTATTTTCTTTTCGTACTTAATTTTATCATGTATTATATGAGCGGAGAGTCAATCAAAAATAGTTTCTCTATCTTACAAAATTGTGTACATCACCTACTCAGCTAGGTTAATGTACATTACTTCAACCGAGAGTCTATTACAGTAGGTTAATGCACATTACTTCAACCGAGAGTCTATTACAAACAACTTCTTACACATCACATATCCCAATTATGAAATTACATTTGATTAATGTGTTATGTGAGCCAAGAATCTATCAGAAATAGCTCTCTATCTTCGCAAGATAAAGGTAGGACTGCGTACACACCACCCTCCTTTATAAACCGCACTTATGAGATTACACTGATATATTGTTATTGTAGTACTATTTCCAACAAATCAAAATCTTAAAGAATCCAAAAATATATGCAATGAGTTGTAACTACAGGTCATCTCAATTATTTATACAGTTCATCACACCTTCAAAAAAGAATACATCAATATCTATAAAACAAAAAAACAGCTCCATTTCAACTACCAACCAGATCTTTAATAAAACTCTGTTGCTACTGGAAAATAAATTCAAAGAAAATAAAATAAAATGAACAATTTATCTTCACTGAAGAACTCCAAGAATGAACAAAGTAATCGAAATGCTCAATCGAAAACGAAAAAGAAAAAAATTGAAATAATGTGATGGAACTATTTTTTCTTGTTCAATTTCATGCAGTTTGCACTTCTGCATCATTGTCAATTATGTCACCACCTCCAGAATCCATACGACAGAGTTCTTCAACGCGAGTAGTGACCTCGGCCATTGAAGGGCGTCTGTCAGGGTACTGAGCAGTGCAATCAACTGCAACTTGCAATAGCTGGACCATGTCCTCCTCGACGTTTTGGTACCTAAGGAGCTCGAGGTCAAAGACTTCGGCTGTCCATTCCTCTCGTACCACTGATTGCACCCATCTTGGTAGGTCGACACCTTCCTCATTCATTATCGAATGTGTGGGAGCCTTCCCTGTTAGGAGTTCCAACAACAAGACGCCAAAGCTATAGACATCTGCTTTCTGGGAGACTTTACGAGGGTCAGTTACCTCTGGTGCCCTGTAACCTGCAACACGGTTGGGAGTTGATGATGGACCGACGAGTTGAGCAAGGCCAAAATCTGAAACACGGGCCTCGTATGATTTGGTGAGGAGGATATTGGATGACTTAATGTTGCCATGTGATACTGAGGGCCCTTGTGCATGAAGGTAGGCAATCCCGTGTGCAGCTCCAAGGGCAATGCCAGCCCTTGTTTCCCAATTCAACGGTGTCCTACCTGCTCCTTTGTTGCCTATAGAAAAGACAAGTTGAATGACAAAACTATTGTGACATGATATAGTAGCAGTGGAATATGCCGAATAAAGCACCCAAATAATTCATAGTTTTTACACAACATATAGTCGATAAGTTAACAAAGGTACATTTGGCTTAAATCTATACAAACAGATTAAATGTTAAATGATCTTGTTTCGTCCTGTTGAGCGCAGTGAACCTGTCCTACACATATATTCAATTTTACGACTTCTTCCTAAACTCTTCCAACAACATACCGAATGAGATCTCACAAGTGGGGTCTGTGGAGGGTGGGATGCACACAAACCTTACCTCTACCTTATGTAGGTAGAGAGGTAGTTTCTGATAGACTCTCGGGCTTAGGAATCTAAAAATTGTGCAGATCACTTGTGGATAAAGTATACATTCAATCTAAATGATGAACACGAGTTAGAACAGCAACAATTGAACATTGTAAAGCCATTCCAGGTTGAGTTATATATAAAACATGTCAGATATCATATTCACTAAACACAATGTTCATCACATTAGATTACGATAAAGTCTGATTAAACATGAACAACAATGCAACAACAGCACAATAATGTAAAAAAAAAAACATAAATTTTAGTGGCTGAACACAATTGGGCACAATAATGCAACTACAACACATCAGCCAAATGCAGCAACTTTTACACAACAGCACCAGTTCAGTAACAGATAACAAGATCCAAGAAAACAAATGATCATCCAAACTTACTAGCCTCATAAAATCAGCAAAAACAGTCGATGTTACTGGGACTCGTGTTTCGATCCTCCAAATATACACTACTTTTGGAGGATCCAAGATCCGACAAGTACCACATTTTAAGAGTCTAGGCAACATAGAAAGCAGCAGTATAAGTGTCAATCAGAGAACTAAAATTTGCAGATCATGTAAATGGTAAACAACAGTACAGCACTATAATGACATGATTCGATAAGACGCTCGATTCAAGAAAAGCATAACAGCAATATAATGACATGAAAAAGAATGACAGAAAAAAGAAGTTATTTTTCTCACCATGTAAAAGTGCAGAAAGGCTTCCCATTGAGATGTAATCATAAACAAGAAGCTTCTCATCTCTGCTATAATAATAAGCTCTCAAAGGAACCAAATTCTCATGATTCATTTTCCCAACATCTTCAATTTTCTCTCTAAACTCCTTCTCAGGTACAGTAACATCTCTCAATCTCTTCACAACTAATGTAATCCCTGATTCCAAAGCAGCTTTATAAGCAGTACCAAATGTCCCTTTTCCCAAAACTTCAGCAGAAGCTTTCAACAAATCATCCAAATTGAAATTTTTAGCCATTTTCCCAAAAAACACCAAACTTTTTCCATCATTTACAACAGCCTCAGCTTTACCTTTATCCTTATTACCCCCTCCAACACCAATAGCTGCAATTGCACTACCCAAGAATCCATCTTTTCCACCATTACTCTCAACCCCTCTTTCTTCAGGCATTTCAACTTCAACCTGCTTACTAACAGCACCAACATCAGCAGATCTTGTTTCTTTTTTACCCCTTTTTCTACAACAGAAAAACAGCAAACAAAGAAGCAAAAGCAAACCAACAACACAACCAATTACTATACCAGCAATTGCTCCACCAGAAAGTTTCTTCTTTTTACCTTCTCCAATACTACTACTACTACTACCATCACATGAATCAAGTGGCTTACCACAAAGTGAAGTACCCAAAAAAGCATCCTTGGGTTGACCCGCAAGTTTACTAGGAATTGACCCGTTTAGCTGATTATTCGATACATTGAACTGAACCATACCAGGTAAATTCAGATCCGGTATCTGACCCGAAAACCCATTTCCCTGCAAGTAAAGTGTACCCAAACTAGTCAAATTGTTGAAAGATTCCGGTATTGAACCGGAGAAATTGTTATGAGCAAGATTAAGCCGGACAAGATTGGTAAGAGAGAAGATTGAATCAGGAATTGGACCGGAAAATAGATTATTTTGAAGGTACAAGTTACGCAAATCATGAAGTGAAGTAAATAAGTCCGCCGGAATTACACCGGAAAGTGCATTATACCGGAGACTGAGAAAGTTCAATTTAGTCAAATTTGAGAAAAGCCCAGGTGGGATTTGGCCTAAAAGTCCCATTCCAGGTAGATGAAGCTCTAAAACAGAAGATTTATCAGGTGAACAAATAACACCAGGCCATGAACAAGTCGGACTTGTAATATTCCATAAAAGTGAACGTCCACGAAGAGCAGATCGGATAGATAAAAGGGTAGCTCGATCGGAAACAATGTCAGAGTTTGTCGGCAAGAAAAGAGTGAAAATTGATACAGAAATGGTGAATAAAAACAAGATTTTTGAGCTCATTTTTTGAAGATTTTGGGTAAACCCAAAACCCCCAAACAGGAATTTTTCTGGGTAATTTGATTTCTTGATTCAATTCTTGTTCAAAGGAGTGGTAAACATGTTGTTCATCATCTTGTTGGTTGATTTTGAGAGAGAAAAATGGACTGTGTCTACTGTGTGTCTGTGTGAGTGTGTGTGTCTGAGCTGGAGAAGATAAAGAAATACTACTAGTTGGGAATTTGGGAAGTTATGAATTTGATTATGGTATATATTATTTATTTAATATAAAATTAATAAAATGGGTGAGGTTTTAATTTTACTATATAATTTTTTTTTTTAAAAAAGAATAAAGTGATTTAAAAAAAATGATTTAGGTTGGAATTGTCGGTGAAACTTGTATGAAGAGAAAGTAGACTTATAAGAAATTGTCTCACGAGTGAGATCTGGAGAGTATATAATGCGTATGAAGAGAGGAAAGAGAATCGATAGTGTATACGCAAATTTTACTTTTATAGGAGTATATATCTTAGATAGAAAGAAAAAGATTTGGCGTTCGTTTTTATTTTATTTTTGGAGAGGAATGATTTCCTCGTTTATTTTCTAGAGATTTCCTGCTAAAAGCAAGGATGAAAAAGAGGTAAGCGGTAATAACAGCAAGATAATAAGATAATTAAGGCTAAAGAAATAATAAATAGTGATAAAAATTTAAGAATAAAATATTACAAGAATGATACTCGATCCTAATTCTCGATCACCACACACTACTATTAAGGGTCATGTATTTAGTGAATTAAAGTCATATCGTATTTTACCTAATCATCTCACTTCAATACTTTTTTGATCCATCTCTATCCCTTCCTAAGTCCACTATATATGACAAACCTCTCACATTTTCTTACCGCAATATTTACACATTTGCTCTTCACATGTCTGAACCATCTCAGTCTCTCTACCCACATCATTATTATTAACATCTTCACTCCTAATTGTATCTATCTTAATATGGTACACATCCATCTCAACATCTTCATCTATATTCTATACTATTCTCATTTTCAAAACATGAGAGTCTTAGGCTGGCCAACACTCAACTCAATTTCATATAATGAAATCGAAGATTTATCCTATTGAACTGGATTTATACAACAACCATAGTAAAAAAAAATAAAAAATCATAATTTATTCGTCATAATGTTAACTCGAAATAAATTTAAATGAAGAATCATAATAAATGAGAATTCATCTAGTTGATATTAATATATTTAGGAATTACTTGTCATTGTTTTCCCCAAATTCTAAACATCATATGGTAGTTCCAAATATTTGAACCATTTTGTAATTAATAGATGAAAATGAAATGTTTTGGTAATTCCAAATTATTTGATACTTTATAGTGACAATATAAAATGAAAGAAGGATGGTAATTCAAGTATAAATTTGCTATGCTCATGTAAGCAATTAGAGTTGATCGGCCGATAAATCTAAAAGGATCTAATCATAAGTCTGATCGAATATTATTTATTCATAGTTTCTTGCAATTTTTGTGTGGAGAAAAAATATTTCAATAGATATTTGTTTATTATAAAGTATAATCTATAGAAAAAGTCAAATTAGTAAAATATATTCTTCACTCTAAAGAGTGACAAATGGACGATGAGAATCATCCTCGCAAAATGCTCAAGTAATATTCTGTATCAATTAAGTTGAACTATAAATACTTTTTCATATTTAATCAGAATTTTAACGGTCTCGATTCAAGTTTTACGATACAATTGCTTTATAATAAGAATCGTTTTACTCCTAAATAGATTTTTTTCAATGTAAATTTCAATTAGTTAAGTTCCAAATACTGAATTTGAGAAAAAAATTTATATCAACTTGTATTATTAATTCCTTTTTGTCTCACTGGAAAGGCAATAGTAATAATAATAAAAATAATTCAAAGAACGTTCGAACAGATAGGAAGGTAACATGTCCAACGTATCTCTACAGCTGTCATATAAAGTTGGAAATTTTATAATTAAACTTTTACAAAGTATCCTTTTATAACTAAATAAAAAGTCAATAATATTATTCTGTCCGTTTGAAAAGGAAAAAAGATAAAATGAGATGATTCATGTAATAATATATATATATATATATATATATATATATATATATATATATATATATATATATATATATATTCAGTATAATTATATAAATAAGATTTGGAGATGGTAATTTTATATGCAAATATATAGCTTTATCCTTTTCTTGAAAAGTAAAGAAGTTATTTTTTTATAGACTCTTGACTCATGTAAAACATATAAATATAATATGAAAAAATACATTATGTTGAAGAAGTCAGGTAGAAAATAGTAGTAAAAGAATAAAAGATAACATCTATTCGAAAAATAAGATAGTATGAAATCAGTAATAGTAATAATATTGATACGATAAACTAGACAACGATCGACTACTTACTACAACTTTCTACCCTGATTCATGTTCTCAATATCTTTCAATCTAGAGTCATGTCCTCAGTGAAGTGTATGTGTAACATGTCCTACCTAATTATCTATCTCCAATACTTCTTCGATCTTTCTCTATCTCTCCTCAAATTCACCATATATATAGTCAACCTCTCACACCACTTTACTGAATCGGTGTGTCTTCTCTTCACACAACTAAACTATCTAAGCCTTATATTGATTTTGTACATCATGTTGCACCCACTCCCTCACTGTCGTGAATATCTCCTACTATGTTCACACATCCATCTCAACATTTTCATATATTTTTGCTATTTTATCTTCTAGATGTCTGCACAACGCTCTACCCCATACAACATATAATTTATTTAATAATCACATTAACTTAATTATCTTAAAAAATTGATGATACATTCTTGATTGTTATAACTTTTTTCATCATATATATACGTGTTGAATTTAAAATAAAAGCTTGATGCACTAACCATTTATTATAAGCAAGGTTCCAAAAATAATCAGACCACAAAAATCTATTATATATGACTTTACTTCGTATATATATGAGATACCATTTTAAAATAATAGATGCAACACGAGAAATCCCAAAAAAATTGACAATATTATAAAAGCTAAAATATAACGTCTTCTCTATCAATAAAAATAAATAACAAAATTAGTTTGTATACCATTATTTACAAAGCTAGTTATGAGTAATATTAAATAATTTCTCAGACCGTTGGTGAGAATTCATTTATTTCCGTTGAATTTAATCAACGCAACGGGACCATTTGAGATCAGACAAAAATGTTTTCTTTTTTTTCATTTAATTCTCTCTTTAAATTCACGTAAATTGTTTACTTTAATTACATTGTTAATTAGTATATTAATAAATTTTAAATTATGATCGGAGTATATCTTATGGTTAAAGAAAAAGACAATGTATCTTATGGACGAAAGACAAATCTACCTCCTATAAAATAGAGACAAAAATAAAGATTACGTGAGATTCTAAATTAATTAACGCGGCAAAAAGAAATAGAATATAATAAACTATAGATGGTAATGATCTCAAGCTAATATACAATAATATTTAAATTTAAAATTAAAATTAAAATATTAAAAATATTGAATTTAAGTGAACTCATAAGTTTTAGAGTTGCCTAATATGCTGATATCCTAGCAAATAAAGTCATTATTTGTGTTAATATTCGAATTTGTAAGTATGAGAATCTATGAAAGAACACTTTCAAATGTCACTTCTTCCTTCCGCATATATCTTGAGAAGGATATCCTTTTAAGATCGAAATGCCTATTCAACATTTGTGGACACACACAACAAAAACTTCAGCTTTAATTATAAAATAAATTGATTTTTTTTTATTACGATGCCCCATGCCTAGCTCGAGTGGCGAAAGGTGGAGGATTTATGGCTTAGGTAGCAGGTTCAAGCCCCATATCATGCAAAGCGAAGCCCGGTATTTAAGTGGAAAAGGGTAGAGGGGAGGGCCCATTATCCACCGAGTTTAGAAGAGTGTGATTAGTCCAAAGGGCAGGTCACATACGGATTTCTCGGTTATTAAAAAAAGAAATTTATTACGATCATCAATGTGAAACAACATTGCTTAACATTTGGTTCAAAGGGCGGGTCATAGACCAATTTCTCGGGGTTACACTATAGGTTTGCCTCTAATAAATTGTGATTTACTCCAAATGATCCAGGTTGGATAGCTAAAAGTCCAAGTTGTTCATTTATTTTATGATTAAATCTACAAGTAACGTTGTCACCGTCATAAAAAGTCATAATGTTTTTCTCATTTTGGATTAATTTTAAACATTAAATAAAAAATTGTACAATATTAAAATAATTTCCAACCAAATTTAAGACAGAGAATTGACAGCTTCTTAGAAAACAACTTGAGATCAGATACCAATAAAAAAATTGCGCCGATTATTTAGCTGTTTTTAGATTCGTGTATCGATACTATATAATTAAAATAAAAATAAAATAATTAAACCTTTTAAGATATTTAGAATATTTGATTTATGAATTGTATAGAAAATTTAAGGTAAACCAAGTTAGAGTGTGATTGATTTTGTCCAATTGTTGCAATTTCATTCATTGACGGAGTCAAGTTACAAAATCTCTCGTGTCATTCATTTAGTTATTGTGATTTCTGATTAAGGATAAAAAAAAAATATTTAAAAATCATCATAAGAGTCCGTTCCACTTTCCTTTTAAAAAAATAATCTATATATTACCCGAAAAGAACTGAAAGAGGAGAAGAAGGGAGATCGAATTCACATTATTGCGAAAAAAATTCTCCTCCATAACATTAAGTTATAAGTCCTAGCACGTTGGCCCGTTACACTTTCCATCAAGGTTTTCACATGAGGGACCTAGATTATTTATTGTTTCCATGAAAGTATAAGTGAAGGTCAATTATTATTGAGAAAATTTAAAAGAGTCGAGTCTGAACAATATATATATCTACTTATTACGAAACAAAAAAATAAATATCTTGGTAAGCTTATATCCTTATCGTAGGTTAGTGTATGGTTAGAATTTCCCTTTCTAAATCATACCTTGAATTGTACCTTGTAAGTTTAAACTTACTCCAACATAAAAATTATAAAGTAAGGAAATCATGCAATAAAAGTTGTAATTTGGGTTACAATTTGATATACAAAACATTTTATTTTAGCGGGATTTGAGAAAGGGTTGTAGACATGCATATTCTACTTTAAAATGCAA